TCTGACCCAAGAGGATTTATTCGCTGCTTTTATCGAGTGGATAAGATAAGTATTTGACGTGTTTGAAGGTGACAATGTGGTTGGGTGTTCCAGCGACCTTTTGTGCTCTGCATCTCTAACACCAAACCGCAGAGTGCATAGAGGCCTCGCTAGGAGAGGAGATTCAGTTTGGGTGAGATGAACTCTCGCACAATAAGCTGGGCATCAAACCGTCTCTGTGTCAGCTCACCCAAACACTCCTTTCCCGCCATTTTGTTTCGCATGAAACTCGTCCAACCCCCTCCCTATTTAACTAATTTTTCGTGCCTTTGTATTTCCTTTTATACGTCCTTTTTTGCGCTTTGTTCGTTGTTCTTGCGCTATTCTAGACATATGTTTCATTACCCGTCAAAGACCGGTTACCGAAAATTTATCGTGAACTGTGCCTTTAGGTTCTGTTAGGAATGGTATCGAAGCAAAGTGAAACCGTGATCGTTCATTGAGTCACAAACTTGATAGCAGTCGTAATCTAAGGCAAGGAATGAACGGCATCTCTCTACGGTTTCGAGCCCTTAATCGGCCCCTATCACTGCACTAACGAAAGCCTTACGATTTAATTGGTCAGTGATTCTTGCTATTTAGGGCCTCTTCTTTGTGTTAGTGTCCCATCCTGCCCCCAATTGGTATTGTACGTGGAGACCTCGCCCCCTGTAAGCGGAGCCCGGTTCTGCCACCCACCATAAGTGTCCCATCCTGCCATCTTTACTCGTACCGAATTTGAACTTTCCAGGTCCACGGGGACAGGAGCTATGAATTTTCGGTAGGACACACACACTCACACACACAGATTAGAGCGTTATCCTCTCTATATATAAAGCGCTAACTTTGTGTGTCCGTTTGTATGCCTGATTGTATGCCGTCACGAAAGTCACGTAGGCACGATCAAAAGCGTGAAGATCCCGAGCGCGGTGGGGAAGTAGATCACAGACTAACCAGTTTTTTAGAGAAGAGAGGGTGTAGGGTAGGAAACGTTTTACACTGGCATCTGTTGGCATCAGGCATCATCGAACACCCTCCTGACTGCATTCCATCACTTCTCTGATGCGCAATTAAATAATGTTTTGGGGCGTTAATCAATCCCGTCAGAAGGATCCCGCGCATTTGACTCCTGTTCAGAATCGTAATGGCGTATTGAATGCGTATGTGGCCTATGCAATGACTTGTGGTGGCCGGCCGATGTAGAAGTCACTGCTTTTCTGCACCAGAAATGAAACTTAAGGGGGATTTGGGGTGAAGCAGTATCGTCTATACGGAACATGAAAATGTTTTACTGCTCTTCTCGAGTAAGATCGTAGATGAGCGGTTGTGGACATGTGTGCACGCATGAGCGTGCGTAGCTCACTGGTGTATAGTAAGATAGTATTATTTATCTATCGGTGTCTGATGATCTAAAAGACTAACAAGCTGCAGTTGTTGTTCCACGTTTTCTTCTCTTGCCTTTGCTGCACGATGTACAGGCTGAAAAGTGTAATTATAGGTAAAAATGATTGAATATGCGAAGTAAATGGGCTTCTCCCATATCGCCAAAGCTGCTCGCGGCCGCGCTGCAGTGGGTTATGAAGACCGAGACGAAATGGGCATACATTCGTGTGGACGGACGGTTCTTCTAAAATCTCCGTTTTACGAACGACATCGTTCTCTTTTTAAGTAGCGTTGCGGAAGCTGAAACTACGCTTGCTAAGCTCGGGCGAAGCAGGAAAAAAGGGCTGCGGTCAACCAAACAAAGACACAGTATTGACGTAGGTCAGTCGAAGGTACACCCAACAAGAAGAACTCGTCTTATGTTCATCTCGAGCACTCCATGAACATGGATAACGACATGAGGGAAGAACTGGTGAGACGGCAGATGTTAGCGTGGGCAGCTTCCGGACCTCTGAAAGAGTCAACCAGCCATCTTGTTGACCTGGACCATCGCGCTAATCTGTTTCACAATTCTCTCTGCGCTCTAAACGAGTCGGAGACTAGGGTGACCAATGCATCCACGTCAAAAAACTTTGAGCACAAGCCACAGAGCACTCGAGCGATGCCTTTTGAGGTTCAGCAGGTCACCCAATATCGAGCCAAACTCCGCAGCTACGATATGCGCAGAATGTCTCGACTTCGCGATCCGGGGGAAGACATGAGAAACGCAAGTTTTTGGTCAGTCATATAATGAGGAGAGGTGATGACAGATGGACAAGAAAAACAGTCGAGGATTTTTACGATCTAAGGGTAGCCTGCTGCAATGAACATGCCCTCGGTTGTGGGTCAAGTGAAAAATGGCGCGCTACTATATCTATTAATAATCCGAAAGTTCGCCAGAAACAACCAAGCCTTCCATCCTTAAGGCGTCGGTTGATTTACTCGTCTGGGACGAACAAAGTATTGGCTTGAGAGGGCGTTCCGGAAATGGGATTGCCTTCCGAAAAACTTTAATAATTAGTCTACTGCTTTATAGTCAGGGATAATATGAATGAAGATCTCGCGATTGTTTGAGCTCACAAACAGCGATCGGGGCCCAGAGGTAACGATACACTTCCATGCCATCAAACCCTGCTGTTGCTTCTGAAAATGATCATCGCTAAACATGATGGACATCGTTTATAGCACGACGGTCGATTACCTTACAACAGTGATCACCTTATTAGGATTCGATTACCGAAAGGCGGCGTTTCATCATTAGAAGGAGATGGTAAATGAACTGAGACACTCACTGAATGAATAAATGAATGAATGAGTAAATGAACTGAGACTAAATGACTGTTGTGCTTATTTATTTTCGTCCTACGAATCTACTTCACTAATTGTTCTCTCTCACTGAGGGATCCCGGCGGATCAGCGGCGAAGCGACGTAGGGCGTCCCCAGCTTGCGGAAAGGGGAGTAAGTCGCCAAACGTCACCAGTACTTGCCAGAAGCGCAGGTGGACTCAGCGGTGGACTCCCTGATTCTACTCTGCTAGCCGATATAGCTTCTGTTTCTCGCACGCATACATGTGTGTAGGTTTGTGTGTGCAATTGGTATCCTGCCATCGACTCAGCCAAAAGTCGCATTTTTTTCAAGTACTTAAGAGGTTATTCGAGGCCGTCCTAAGAAATTAAGCTCCTCGTCCACTTCGATATAGCCTCTTTAGCCCCCAGAGTCAATCCAGCACCCACGTCAGAGTCTGGTATGCTACACGTTGGGTTACCACTCGTCAGGAGCAGTCACACAAATGAGATTCATTCCTCTGAGCTCGAGGGAGCCCCCGATACGGCACCGCTCGGGAGAGGCTGCTAGAGTCTCAGGGCCTTCTATACAGATCTTCTACATACCTGCGCTTCAAGTGCAAGCGTCCTTGCGATGTACAGATTCTATCTTAGTCCTTCTCCTCTTGGGCAACCTGTTTCGCCCAAAAGGAGAAGGACTAAGATGGCGATCTGTACTGACACGGACGCGCGGTCGTTTGCATTCGAAGCGTGTATAGTAGATCTGATGATGCAACCTAGGGAGATCAAGTCCGACCTTATCGGACTGACCGAGATGAGAAGGCTTCGCATGCTGCACGCTGCACTTCAGACTTGAGAAGAACTGTTCCTTGGAACATGCGACAGTAGAGGTGTCGGCGGCGCAGGTGTCCCCATCAGTAGGCACTTGGCCGTGAACATCGATTTTTACGAAATTTCTACAAGCCGGATAGGACATTTACGATTGAAAAGATGTGCCTCAACACCAGCTTTAGCCATCTTCGTTGCCTACGAATCAACATCGAGTTGAGAAGAAGAGGAGTTGGAAGCGTTTTATATTGATCTCGAGAGGCTCCATGCTTTCTCCGAGGTTACCGTTTTGATTTCAGCGCCAAGATTTCCCCAGAAGAATGGCCGAGGAGCTCAACATTGGGACTCAAGGACTGAAATGGAATGAGCAGGATGTAAGGCCGAATTATCAAGTCGACCCACACCCTCCATGGTAAATCGCAGTTCCCTCTCCTTTGCGATGGACATGGGAGTCACCGGGCGGACAGTTTCATAATGAAGTAGACCACATCATCTTTAATCGGAAGTTCTGCCTGACTGACGTCGAGAGAGCTATGAAGTTCAAGGAATGAAGCTTCAAGACCTCTATCAACTGGGATCACTTCGCTTCCCTTGCGAGTGAAAGGTAAGATTCTAGTACCGACAACATCAATGAAGAATAAAATGGAGCAACTCCGTGATCATGCCAGGAAGGCAGAGAGACAACATAGCCAAGAGGCGACTCTTTTCGAAGACTCTCGAGCTGTTATGACAGTCGCGCGAGCTGTAGCCAATCGTCAACAAACGTCCGAATTTGCGAAGCTATGCTAAGAAACGATAAAGTAAGATCTGAAAGAGAGAAGAGCAGCAAGTAGTGACGAAACCGCCGAGGCCGGAAAGAGCACTGACGGAGCTGACCGGCAAGACCAAGACGACTCTTCTACGTAGTCCTGGTGGAAGATTAACTTTATGTCGAAGGCAATGATGATAGCCATTAATGACTTCTACTCAGATCTCTTCGTCAGTCACGCACGTCTACCTGATTACCCACCATCTCAGGCAAGACGAATATATCGTTCCTTCGGTTCTCCTTCCGAAATTTGACATGCCACCACATCGATGAAGAACGGCACGGCGCCCGGTCCGATAGGATCTAGGTAGAACATCTAAAGGGCCTTCCACCCGTCACGGTCAGAGCTCTGACCTTGTCTCTTCACGCGGTGCTTCTCGGAATGCAAAGTGTCCACGTAGTGGAAAAGAAGCAAAACTATTTTGCTATACAAGAGATATTTCGACGATATTGGCAACTATTTCCTAATCTGCCTGCTGTCTGCAATCTACAAGCTTTTCACACACGTCACCCTGAACAGGATTGGCAGCATACGTTCATAATACAAAGAGCCCTTACGTCTTACGTTCATCGTCGTCATACCGTCGAGGCAGAACCTATAATTGAAGCCCTGGGCAAGCACGATGTTCGTGCTCAATATATGAGGATGCTTCGTGAGCTCTGCAACAACTCCACGACCAGGGTCTCGCTATTTTACAAAGAAGTCATCATTAACGTGAAGAGAGGAGTCCGCCGGAGCGATACTAACTCGCCCAAACTTTTCAGTGCCAGTCTGGAGGACATTATGTGTCATATGGAATGGGTAGGCATGGGAGTGAAGGTCGACGGCTGCTACTTACATCATCTCAGCTTTGCAGACGTCACTGCGCTTAAAAGACCGGACATCGAGCAGATGGAACGAATGCTGGCCGAGTTCGACAGTGCTTGTGGAAAGATCGGCTCGAGGCTGCATTCAAGGAAAACGATGCTGTTGAAAAACGGATTGATACCTGATGCTCTTTTCACGCTGAACGGAAGGCATATCTGAATGTTCCAACTATGTCTATCTAGGTCGGGAAGTCAACATGATGAGCGACCTAGCATATGCCAAGAAATCGAAAATCAGATGAGCTGGGTACATCATGCGATATAATGATGGCCGTTGGACCAGGGCGGTTGCGGCGGATCCCTCGGAGCGTCAAACGGGCAACAGGACAACCGCCGGCTCGACGCCCTGACTTTTTTACGAAAGCTTCGAGCGAGAGAAATGTTGGGCTCTGAGTCTCTGAAGCAAGGACGACTCACTGGACCACTCTGGCTTGTGACAGGGATGAATGGAGATGTTTCTGGCGCCCGCTCGAGGAAATCGATTATCAACGAGACGACAGGTGATACAGGTGATTGATTTTCGTTGAGGACAGCGCGAAATGGGGGCTATTCTCAGTAATAAGCTAAAATGGCGAATAGATTATATAGCATTTCATAAATTGGCGTACCGCTAACGAAGGAATTTCTCCGGATTGCCGTCGTAAAGGACTTGTTACCGATATAAAGGTAGACTGAAATAGAAAATTAGAGCTTGAGGATGAAAATGGCCCACGCTTACTTTTACATCTATAATAAATCTATCGACTGAATAAATAAGTCTCAAGCTTGTGGGCTCTTATTCTGGTACTAGCACTTGTACCAGCGTCTGCTCGTTTCTTTTAGAGGTTGTTCGTGTTGACCATTCATTCACCTTATTACTATTCCCTTCATCTTCAGAAGGAACGGACACCTCAGCATTAGCTAGCTTACATTATATTAACTGGGCATTGCATGCTATCTGTTTGCAGTTCTCTGTTGCTGAAAAGTGTGTGGTGAAGTCTCGTTGCGTACACACTCGACATTTTCACAGAACGAAGTGTAGAAGTTAGTTCTCAGACTAGGAACGGTACTCCCAGCTCACTTTTTTTTTCTAACAGCTAGCAGGATCAGATTTCGCTTTGGAGTGTGCCACTTCCTCAACTTTGTGTAATACAATGTGAAAATGACTGATCGGTTTTCTTTAGTCTGTGTGTTGGGTGCAGAGGCTGCAGGTGAATACATCTTCAGCCTCTGCATTCAAGACTCTTCTTTACAGATTCCATTGAAAACATGGCATTGATTCACGGCAAAATAAATGAATCGAGTTTTCGGCATTTTCTTTGAAGGGATTTTTATCCGGAATCTGAGGAGGCGTCGTTAAGGGACCTTCTCATCGTACTTTCGATTATTTGAAATTCTGTCATGGTATGTCTTATCACAGACCAAAATTTTTCTCCTGGTATGACCCCAAACCTCACTATTCGTCATGCCCAAATCACAAAACTATGTTTATTCCCTCCCTGTTCACCTTTTTTCAATTCCCTCACTGTTCACCTTTTTCCAATATGACTGGGTACTATAGTGGTGGGAATGTAAGGGTTTTTCAATGACAATCATTCGAATGAGGGTTTAGTTCCGCTGGAGGAGGGGACTGAAGTGGCGAGAAAGGTGGGGGGGGGGGGGGGGGGGGGNCCGGATCGATGTCCGCCCAGGCCAACCAAGCCTCCCATCCCCTCCAGGGTCGGTGAATTGGTACCAAACTCGTCTGGGAGGATAAAAGCACTGACTTGTACATCGGCTGGCCACCGCAAGTCATTGTATAGGCCACATACGCACTCATTACGCCACTACGATTCTGAATGGAAGCCGATTGCGGGGGCGCATCCCCCAGACGGGATAGATTAACGCCAAAAACTTTATCCTTTATCTTCTAATGATTGTTATGTGGGTGGGGGAGTAATCTCCGCAGGAGACGGGGCATTGTAGGTGTAAGAGGCGGGGATTTAAATCGAGAAAGCAAACAGGAACAAAACGAAAGCTCGGCTTTTCGATGATGTGCTCACTTTTATTCTCTTCCAAAACAGTTTCGTACCTCCTGCAGATCTTACTATCAATGGGAAAGCCCTCTTCAAATGACCCCACCTTCTCGCCCCCCGCCCCTTCAAAATTCCCTAAAACCGCATTAAATCTGCCCCACCTTCCACGCCACAACAGTATCCCGTCACCTGCGGATCTAATCCACCATTCAAATAATTAATTTAACCCATTGACGACCATGCAGTCCACATGTGGACTGCAGTTGTATTTTTTGTTTTATTCATTTATATTTCAACTTTTTTGCAGTTTTTCTATTCGAAACATTACATCAGGTCTAAATGAAACTACATAAAGCGTGATCCTGGAAAATCTTCTAATTTTGCAAATGTAAAGGTGTTTTTTCAAAGGAGTACATTACCTTGGTGAATTTTTCGTTCGTTGAACAACCTCAGAAAATGAGATTTATCGAAAACACGGTCGTCATTAGCATTTTGTCTGTCATCGACCAAATGCAGAGCTTGTAAAAGTTCCCCCAAAGCGATTACTGGTAATGATTGAACTGATAATTGAATGACCACTAGACTGAGTGCCGGTTCTATAAAAAAGAACAATAATCACTAAGTGAGGGCATTCTCTTCAAATCCATTCGAAGGAACATTCCGAAAACTTATAAATATTTCTTATAAACTTCAAAAAAATGGTCATGCTGGACCATGAGAGTGGACGAAAAGCGCGCGGGTCCCTTGCGGCGGTTTTCCCGCAAAACGCCATGGTCGTCAATGGGTTAAAGAGGTCCCAACACCCCGCCACTACAGTACCCAGCCACCTTCCATTCCAGCTTTCCGTTCAAGTAGTCATTATTCAAACCCACCTGCAGTACCCGCCGATACGGTGCGCGCCACCTGCAAATCAAAGTCCCCCAAAGCCACACTTCAAACCCTACGCCACTACATTACCCGGCCACATGCGTATCCAAACACGCCCAGCAGGAGACCGTCCAGCGACAGGTATTCGATAATATTTTTCATGGGGAATCTAACAGTGTACAATATAGTTGCAAAAATGTCAACATTGAGGGAATAAACATAAACTTGTGTTTTGGGAGCGAAGAGTGAGGTTTGGGGCCATGTTAAGAGAGAAATTTCTGTCTGGAATGAGGCATACTATAACAGGCTTTCAGACAATCGAGAGTACGATGAGAAGATGCCTTAACGCCGCCTGCTCAGATTTCGGAGAAAAATCCTTTCAAAGATTGGAAACAGCCAAAAAACAGACTCAATCAATTCAGAACAGGGCATATTAGATACTTTAGGATATCAGCTTATAAAGCTCGAGAAGCTGAGTTTGATGGTGTTTTTAGCTCTCGGATGACATCACTCTGAATCGACTATAAGAGGAAAATGAGGTGAGTTTGCGCCGCAATACTTGTTAGTCAAGATGTAGATTGTACTCGCCGTGAGAACTCGCGTAATTTCGTGAACTCGATTTCGAGTACTATATACATCTTGACTAACAAGTATTGTCGTTTCTAGGACCCGCTTGAGCAATTCGATGAAGATCCCGTCAAAGAAGTGAGGCGCGCATCAATCTTCATCTTAATATATCAGAACAATAGCCGTAACCACAAAAATAATCTATCTTCCTTATTTATAAAGCAGTACTTAATTTGTCGGTTCGTCGGTCTGTCCGTCCGCAAACTTTTGGTTATGATAAAAGTAGTCATATAGCAAACCTAGCTCTATTCTACACTTCCCTCTTAATGTAAGGCAGTAACTGATGGGTAGGTTGGTGGAGTAGAGTGAGTAGTGCGAAATGAAGTGAGTGATGTGGAGTGGACTGAGTAGCTCGAAACTGTGATTTCGACCTGTAGTGGCATCGCGCTATGCATGTCTTTACAATAATCGGAGGTAATAATGTAGTTGGGAGACCTTCGCTTTTTTTTTNTTTTTTTTTCAACTTAATTCCAACATAAGGAGTTTAGCCCATGATTGTGCTCACTAACGTTTCTTATCCAGACACACAGTTTTTGACCTTTGCTCCAGGAGGGAAGGGGTCCAGGGGTTTGGAACCGAAGTGGGTGAGTCAATTGAATATATAATTCATATCACATCTGTACGCTTTTTGTACGAGGTAATCTTCTCACCCCTACCCCAAAGCTCCTCCTCTCCTGAGGCTTAGCTTGGAACCATATTCTTTCGCCTAGAACTGTTTCTAAGTTTAGATCGGGTCACCTACCCTTTCTCTAACCACATTTTCTAACTACTCGGTAAAGGTAAGGAACAATGGGGTAGTAAGGGTAAGGCAATAAAGGCAAAGCATCGCTTTTATCCGACACCGACGGCTAGAGTGCAGAGAAGAGATAGCCTACCTCATCTATATTTAGAAACGGTTCCAGGCGAAAGAATATGATTTCGACTCGCGTTTGCCCGGTTAACCCACCTTCCATCTAACTTGCTTTCCTGCTTTGCTGATCATGTTTTCTGCCTTGTATTAATGTGCTGTGCATGTAGGTCTCTACATTTGTGTTTGTGCTTGGTAGCGTTTGACGGTTGTCAATTTTTAGTGGAACTCCTACTATCTCAATGTTTAATATTTCGTTATACCACCTAGTTCTGCTTTATTTGCCTTTGACTGCTGCTCTTTTGTGTCGTACCTTTACTGTTTAGTTGCTTGATTGGTGCACATCACTAATCGAACAGGGTCCCTGTTAGTGGCCTATTTCTTTCCTTTTCCAGTGAGCTTTCTTCTGTTCTTTTCTGTTTTTTGTTCTGTTCCTTGGTTCTGTTGGAATTTTCATATTACAGTAATTCTTCCCGGTGCCGATTTTTACTGGATTTACTGAGCACAATCATGGGCTAACCTTCCTAGGTTGAGATCGTGTTGAAAAAAAAAACGGAGGTCTCCCAACTACATTATCACCTCCGATTTTTGTACAGACATTCATAACATGCTCATTATAGAGAAATCCCAGCTTTGAAATAACCATTTCACTCCACATCACTCCATTCCGTAGTACCCACTTCATTCCATTAACCTACCCATCAAGTTACTGCCTTAAGAAGGGAGTGTAGAATGGAGCTAAGTTTTCCATATCACCACCTTTATCGTAATCATCAAAATTTGCGGACGGTGTCGCCACTCATACCATAACCATGCGGATCGCCC